GAGCTATATGGTCCGTATGTGTCTGTTAGCTTTAATGGCAGTATAGTATGGAATATGGCAACCCCATGGAACCAGGAAGTGTGTAAATTGGTAGTGGGCACCCAGAAAGAACCTGAAGATGGTATGAATATATTAGAAGCAGGATGAGCTGTTCGGACAAGTGACAGATAGTCTGAAGCATAACTCATAGGAGAAATCTCTTTCAGAATACGGCGGAATTCAGAATTATAAATAAACCAAGAGGATTAATTGCTGCTTTGACTTGCCTGAAAATAATCTAGAAATGTGGATACCATGGGCGTTTCTCCCCAGTGTTTTATTATCAACAATTTCTAACACACAGCAGAGTTGGAAGAGCCTGGGTGTTTTTATCTGGATAAAATGAATGGCTGTAATTTATGGTTTGAAGGAAACAAAACTATACAAATGCATTATTAAATAGGATTTTGTGGGGTCCTGTGTAAATTATAACTGCACGTGAAGTGGCCAGAGAAGAAGCCGTATATGAGCTTAGGGACAGAGTAACCTGGTGAAGGTGTCGGAATCTGTTATGGTCCTTGTTTTGAGAATGAGGCCTGCTCCCAGGGAACCGAAACATACGATGGGACAGTAGGGCGTCTTCAGAAAGTGGCTCCTTCCTCTCAGATACAATGTGCTGTGTGTTCTCCTGTCTCTGAACAAAAAGTAAGTTCCTTGAAAGTCTGATGCATGGAAAAGATCGCATCTACTAAAGCGGTTTTCCCCTTCCCAGGAGGGAGTCACAGGGGTAGGTCAGCTTTGTTCTCTACTTGAAATGCTTTATTTATTCTTAAGCTGTTGTCATAAGCTCAGCAGGGAAAGGACAGAAATGTGGGTGTAATAAGTTTCTACCGTAACCTCCCCTTTGAACCACATCCAGAGTTTTCATTAAAAATTTAAATCTGATAAGGGGGACACAAGGCTCTAATATGTTACCTGCAGTGGCTAATGGGCTTATTAACTGAAGCGGCCTTCTCTGTTGTCACAGTCCCAGCTTCCTGCCCCGGAGATGTGCGCATTGAGCTGCCTGGCCACATTCTTGTTTTTGTGGGTCTTCTCCTGTTGGTATTTGCATATGGTTTATTAACATACATCTTGTGGTTAAAGCCAGATGAGAATGATATTTCATACGTGTTATACTTTCCAGAGATGTCTCCAGCATTGTCTCTCATGTCCTCATCTCTAATGTAGGTATGGAATTTGAATTCCAGTTTGTAAATATGGGGACATGTCACAATGGTAGTGATTTTACCAGTAAGCATTATCTAGGGGCTCCAGCTGTCTTTTTTTTTTTTTCCTGGTCATGGTAGTATATCCATGGAACAATCTTCTTATAAGCTTCCACTTGCAAATGTTACTGGAATTGCATTTTTATAAAACAAAGAATTAATGTGACTTAATTTTACTACACCTTAAAATTTCCCATTTTCACTGTTAAAAAAAAGTGATCTAGAGATGCATTGTCCAAGATGGTAGCCATTCGCCACATGTGGCTATTGAATTTACTTAACAAAAAATAAAATTGATTATTATTTTATTAATAAAGTAATAAAATATTTTTTAAAAGTAGGATTAAATTAAAATGCAGTTCCTTACACATGCCATCCGTATTTCAGGTGCTCAATAGCCACATGTGGTGAATGACTGCTATATTAAATGGTGCAGACACACAGCCTTTCATCACTGAGAAAATTCTATTTGACAGTGCCCATAGAGGTTTAACTTACCTTTAGCGTAAACGATAAATCTGATCACCTCATTTTATCTGTTACTTTAAGGGCCTCAATAATTTGATAATAGTCAAAAGTAAAGTAACAACCAGTATTTGTATAGTTCTTGAAATTTACAAGCTTTTTTATCAAAAAATCACATTGTAACCTTCAATCAATCAGCCAGTGAAGCAGACAGGAGCGGTGGCACTGTTATCCTTGTTTTCCACACGGACAGGGATTTGCTCATGTTTCCTGGGCTGGGCCTTCCATGGAGGTCTGTCACCACTCCTGACATCATAACATACTGCTCCGCAGGCAAAGCGATGAATATTCTTACAAAATTCCACTCTTCATAAAAAATCTTAGAAGTAAAATTTACTGTAAACATGACTTGTAGATGATAGCTCTCATTTAGAATATTTTGTCATAAGTCTAGTTTGAAATTCAGGGGAAAATAAGAATACTCCTCAGTATACCGTTTTGAGTTTCTAAGGCAAATAATGCACGTGAACTGTTACCATTTTAAGTTTATTTCACTTAATGTATCTACTTCTTACTGAAAGCTTTTGTTAAAAGCATGGGCCCAATTCTTGGCTTGTGGTAAAGCAGACAAGAACAAGAATTCTCATGAACCTGAAGAGGAGTTAGGATAAAAATGTATGTGTATAGTAATACGAAAAGGGTGTTGATGAAAAGAGGCTTAAGGTACTTGTGGTGTCATTGCCGTATTTTGGTTCAAACTGAAGCCGTCTCCTCGAGCTTTCCGTGGAGCTGTCAGAGCTGGATATCACAAGTGGAAATGTTTTATCCTCCTGTGATTTCCCAGGGCAGCTGACAGAGGACAGAGCACATCTCCCCAGAAGGGATGGGAAGGGAGTGTGTTGGCTAATCCTCTTCTTTAACCTCACCCATTGCCGTCGAGTATATTCCAACTCCTGGTGACACTGTAGGACAGAGTAGGACTGCCCCATAGGGTTTCCTAGGCTGTAATCTTT